TATTACAGGGTAATAGTGTACCCTACCACAGGAAATAATTATAGGTCAATTAGGGGGTACACTATGTATATTTTAATATATTCATATATAAATATATTTATATACATATAAATATATAAATATATATATATACGTATATAAATATATATAGAGAGAGAAAGAGAGATAATATTAAAAAGAAAACAAACTGAAATATTTAAATAAGTTTGCATTTGTTACAAAATACAAAATCTTTCTTTCAAACAAATTTAATGCATTGTCAAATAAAATGCAGTTCTTTTTCGACAATTTTACTATAAAAAAAACTCTTTTACATAAGTTCAGTTCGCTTAACTACAAACCAAACAAAATGTGCACAACAATGCAACTTAATAATCAAAAGAATAGACATAACCAGAAAAAGATTTTTAAAAAAAAGAAAAGAAGCTATCTAGCACACAACCCAAAAGTTTCTACAAACTCATAACATTTCTTAAAAACAGATCAATTTTATTAAAAAAAGAAAAAAAAAGTAAAAACATTAAATATCCCCCAGCATGCATAAATTTTGATTATGTTGTTTTCTGCTTATTTTCGTTTAACAATCAATGTAAGAAATATTTATTTTAAAATATATTTCCTCTAGAAATATTTACACCTAAAAAGGCAATTTTGTGGAATAAAATAAGTAAGTTTTAAAAAATTAATTTAAAAAAAAAATATCTGCCACAACTTAAGAGTCTCCATGAATATATCCACACACCGCACGTGTCTATATTGTACAACTATAGGCATTACAGTATTCTAAGGTCAACACAGAACAAACAAACACAGAACTGTTTTAAGTAATTTGGTAAACATATTTAGCTTTTATTTTCCAAACTTCAAAAAAAATAGCAAATATGAACAAAAAGGTTAAATCTTTACCCATTCTACTATAAAAACTTCCCGTCAAAAAAAAAAAAAATCCTTAACTAAATATACAAGTTATAAAAAATTCATAAAAAATGTAAAAAACTTCAATTTTTAAAAATTCTTATGGCCTACCCTGGGTTACTGACTTACAAGAATGCGGAAAATAAAAAATAGAATACATCCTTTAAAATTATAAAAATCAAGAACTTTCAATAAATAGTAGGATCAAAATGCATTTTATAAATTTTCCAATCATAAGTTCCTGAAAAAATTTTTTAAAAAATCCATACAAATATTTGAAAATAGATTTTTCTTAATAATATAGCTAAATAATTTTTAGGGGACAATAGAATAATTATTTATATAAACTTGAAGCAATGCAACTACAAAAACTTTAAATAAAAAGCATAAAATCTAAAGAAGCTCTTTATTTTTAAAGCTAATCTAAAATAACAAAAACAGAAAATATCTCGCCTGCTAAAATTTAGGACAATAATCAATTTATATTATATTCATACAGAAAAAAGTAAAAAATTTTAAACATGGATCATATTTAAAACATGATATAACACAAAGCTAATCCAATTAGTAATTGAAGAATCAGCTGTATAGACGTTACACATCGTTAAGTTTAAGCAATTAAACGCAATAATAGGTAAATTTAACTTGATTAAATTAGCAAAAGGTGTTAAAAGTACAAGTACATGAAAAGTATCCAATAAAACATTCAATGATGAATACGTTAAGGATCAAAATATTTCGATACAGTGCATTATAATATGGATACATAAACAATGTCGATTGAGAATCATAATTTATGAATAAATGATAAAAGATTTTAGTATTTAAATATAAATATCAGCATAATTTCGATATTGACTTTAGTTTGCTTGCGAGTGTCAGTGAAGCAGAATGGGATAGTAACAGAAAATTTTGTTTTTGGAATTAGCGAGATGTCTCAAATTAGGGGTATTTTTAAGTAAATTTTTTTGCAAGTAAATTTTTATTGGTTTAACTTAATAGCTTACTTTTAAACTATTTAAATCAATATCATCAAGACTACAATTTACACTCTGCGTTACAGCCATGTATTCAAATTTTAGAAGCAGATGTTTCAAATTATTGTCAACAGCTAAAACCTGATGGATGGAGTGAAAGAGTTTTTTTAATATATAAGTGGGTTTTAATTTTTAATGACATTAATAACAGTAAACAAGATCAAGTACAAACATAGCCCCTAGATGATTTATAAACTAGCTTTTTTAAGCGAAACAGAAACAACGAATCGTTCTAGAGACTACTGAAGTTGTCAAACTTGTGCAGTCACAGTTAAAACAGCACTTGAATGGTTTTACTCAGAGACTCTCTTAGAAGCCGCTGCTGCTTTATAACAATAACCCTATAAATCTGCGACGTCATCTGAAATACCCAACGCGAGCAGGGTATTATTTTCCAAATCAGCTGCGTTTTACTACCCGCTCTTTTGTTTCGCGGACCACCTCTTGACTCTTATAGCGCTTTTCAGGTAAACGACTTGTTTGGAGTCATCTTAACAAGGCTTTGCGAAGTTCTTTCACAAAGGAAAATAAAAAAAGTCATAATTTAAGTGGTAGTAGTAGCTCATTTACGTCGCACTAGAGCTGCCAATGGACTATTGGCGACGATATGGGAAGCATCCTTGAGGATGATCCGAAGACATGCCATCACAATTTTGATCCTCTGAGGAGGAGGCACCCCTGCTTCGGTAGCTCAGTGACCTGCACGCGAAGTCGAGCACTTTACTGCAGAACAGTTTAACGATGACCAGTACCACACACCCTCGGTCCCTACGCAGACTGATCCAAGTGGTCACCCACCCGCCCACTGACCGCAGCCAGTGATGCTTGACTTCGATGATCTGCTGAGAAACCACAATTGCACTGCGAAACCACAATTTTATGTGCCTTACACTTGAAGCAAAGCTATAATTTTAAACTGTAATCGTGTTAATTAAACTGTAACTGTGTTCATTTTAAATCGAGAAACTATCTCCTCAAAATTTCGCTACAGTAAATTCCTGTTTTGCACTATGGATTTCAATTTTAAAAAGAAATAGCATTTCTCCTAAGGATATTTTTTTTGTAATTTTTAAATAAGAATAATGAGATTTTGACATATGAGACAATGATAATCAAAACAAAATTAATAAAACTATAATAATCAAAACAAAATTAATAAAATTATAATAATTAAACCTAGCTATTTAAGAAAACAAACATAGTTAGCAAAAAGTTTTAAAGTTCATGAAAAAAATTTATTAATTATTTATAAATCGATTCTTACATAAATATTTTTTTTCCAACTCCATTTATTTGACTAAATCATTTTCATTTAAAAAAATGTTTTTTTTTTTAATTTATTCATTTTATTGTAAGTTTATAATAATATATTTTAAATATAATTCAATATGTATATTTAAAAAATTGGTTTATTTTAAATTGACTTAATAAGTCAATAATAGTAGTTAGTAGTAGTAATAATAATAGTTATTTTAAATTGATTTATAATTGTTGATATTTTAGCGCAGAAATGTTTAATTTTACGCTCAGTGATTGAGTAGTAGCGCTTTGCACTTTCGTGCTACAGGTCCTGGGTTTCATCCTCAGTAGGCCAAGGTCAACACAGCCTTTCACCCCTTCAGTTGATTGATAAAATGAGTACCTAACATCCGGATTTAAGCTTGGTGGGGCCCTAAGCTACTGAAAATGATGGGGCTCTTATAAGTTCTATTCCATTTCTATACACCTACTGTCACTATTTTTTATTGTTGAGTATTAACATTATATTGTTAAAAAACTTAATAATATTACTTTATTGTTAATTGTATTAATTGTGATGAGACTATTATGTAGAACCTTTCTTTTATTGCACATATTTTTTGAACGAGGGGAAAAAGTTACAAAAGAAACACATTTTAAGCACAGAGTAAAAATTTGGCGTGCTGGGCCACTATATATTTAACAGAGTTTTTTTTTTTAGATTCATTTTGAATATATTTTATTTGCAATTNAATAATAGCCAATAAACGAATAAATTTTGGATGATTTTTATTTATTTATTTATTTTATTTTATGTTATTTTATTTACTTCTTTTTCGATATTTTTAAGTGAATACAGTGTTCTACATACGAAAAGAATTATTTTTCTTTGTTAAAGAGCGAGTAATGGCTGAAAAAGGAACAAAAGTCGTATCAGGAGGCACGCACACATCACACCCCGTTACTCCCTATAATATTAACCTATAAATTTCATACTCGGCACGATATTAGAGGTTACTATAACAAACAATTGTAGCACAGGGATTTTTTATAGACCAGTTAGTGGGCCCACAATGGGAAAAAATAAGTTTTGTTGACTAACTGGGAGGAGGTGTTTTAAAATAAACATTTGTGGGACTGGCGTGTGAAGCGTGGCTCAGCTGGTTGCGCTGTGGGCAATGTGTATATGTAGTCCCGGAGGTCCTGGGTTTGAAACCCTGCGAGGGTCGACTTTTAATTTTTTTAAATTTATTTTATATTATGCTTGTTAATATACTTTTCGATATTTTAACATGAATCAAGTGTTCTGCATATAGAAATAATTATTTTTACTTTGGGAAATAGCGAATAGTAGCTAATAAACGAATAAATTTTGGATAATTTTTATTATTTTATTTATTTTATTTTATGTTATTTTTTAAAAGTCTTTTTCAATATTTTAAAGTGAATAAAGTGTTCTATATATGAAAAGAATTATTTTTCTTTGTTAAAAAGCGAATAATGGCTGAAAAAGGGACATAAGTCGTATCAGGATGCACGCACACTTCACACCCCGTTACTCCCTATAATATTTGCCTATAAATTTCATACTCGGCACGATATTAGAGGTTAATATAACAAACAATTGTTGTACAGGGAATTTTTATAGACCAGTTAGTGGGTCCACAATGGGAAAAAATATGTTTTGTTGACAAACTGGGAGGAGGTGTTTTAAGCTAATTATTCGTGGGGCAGGTATGTGAAGTGTGCCGAAGTTGGTAGCGCTTTGGCAAGTTAGATACGAAGTACCGGAGTTCCTGGGTACGAAACCCTGTGATGGTCGACTTTCAAATTTTTTTATATAATTTTTTTAATACATTTTTCGAAATTTTAACGTAAATAAAGTGTTTTGTATATAAAAATGACTATTTTTTATTTAGGAAATAGCGAATAATAGCTAATAAACGGATAAATTTTGGATAATTTTTATTTATTCATTTATTTTATTTTATGTTATTTTATTTACTTCTTTTTCGATATTTTTAAGTGAATAAAGTGTTCTACATATGAAAAGAATTATTTTTCTTTGTTAAAGAGTTAATAATGGCTGAAAAAGGGAGAAAAGTCATATCAGGAGGCGCGCACTTATCACACCCCGTAACTCCCTATAATATTAACCTATAAATTTCAAACTCGGCCTGAAATTAGTGTTTAATGTAACAAACAATTGTACCAATGCAATTTTTTACAGACTATTTAGTAGGCCCAGAAAGGGCCGAAATAAGTTTTGTTGACTAAACTTTAGTAGGTGTTTTTCGCTAAATATTCGTGAGGTTGGCGTGTAAAGCGTGGCGTAGTTGGTAACGCTCTGTGCAAGGTTGATTTGTTATCCCGGAGGTTCTGGTTTCGATACCCTGTGAGGGTCGACTTTAAATTTTTTTTATTTATTTTATATTATTTTTTTTAATATACTTTTCGATATTTTAATGCGAATCAAGTGTTCTGTATTTAAAAATAACTATTTTTTCTTTGGGAAATAGCGAATAATAGCTAATAAGCGAATAAATTTTGGATAATTTTTATTTATTCATTTTTTTTTATTTTATGTTATTTTTTTTAACTTCTTTTTCAATATTTTTAGGTGAATAAAGTGTTCTATATATGAAAAGAATTAATGTATAAATATCATATTTTGTTGAAAAGCGTTTAAATGAAGAAATTCGAAGTCTATATTCTGTATAGAAATATGGTCAGATATCTCCCTCTAATATAAACGTATAATATTCAAATAGGACCACGTATCATATTACCGGGTAATAGAATACTCTACCTGAAGAAATAATTATAGACCTCATAGGGGTACACAATGTGGCCCTGTAGTTTTCTATGTATGTATATCTAAAATAGTCTTCTGTAAATCTTTAAAATGAGGAAATTCGTCTTCTAAAATTCGAAGTCATTTTTAATTATTAACTAACGCGTGGCCCGATATCAGATCTGAATATTGACCCATAATATTTTAATTGGATCGCGTAATATATTGCCTTGTAATAGTGTGCCCTACCAGAGGAAATAATTATAGACCTCTTAGGGGGTACGCAATGTGGCCCTGTAGTTTACTATGTACGCATATCTAAAATAGTGTGTTCAATCGCTCTAAAATGAGGAAATTCGCTTTCTAAAAACCTAGGAAGAGGCGATTCGAAGTCAATTTTCAATATTAGCGCAAGGCCCGATATCAGACCTTAATATTGACCCATAATATTTTAATTGGACCACGTATTATATTAACGGGTATTCAGAGCCGGATTATACCTTTCGTAGGCCCTAGGCACAGAGCCGGATTATACCTTTCGTAGGCCCTAGGCATAGCCGTTTTTGGGCCCTCCCCTCCTTCCCCCACTCCTCCCCTCTTTTCAAAATATATGCTAAAATTTTCTTGCATATTTTTTTTTACATTTTTATTAATATGGATTTTAATTTAC